CCGGCCGGGACCTGACCTTCTGGGCTCGTACCGTCTGGGCTGATCCGGCCGTGTGAACCGGCCGGGACCTGACCTTCTGGGCTCGTACCGTCTGGGCTGATCGGGCCGTGTGAGCCGGCTGGGACCTGACCTTCTGGGCTCGTACCGTCTGGGCTGATCGGGCCGTGTGAGCCGGCCGGGACCTGACCTTCTGGGCTCGTACCGTCTGGGCTGATCGGGCCGTGTGAGCCGGCTGGGACCTGACCTTCTGGGCTCGTACCGTCTGGACTGATCGGGCCGTGTGAGCCGGTCGGGACCTGACCTTCTGGGCTCGTACCGTCTGGGCTGATCGGGCCGTGTGAGCCGGCTGGGACCTGACCTTCTGGGCTCGTACCGTCTGGGCTGATCGGGCCGTGTGAGCTGGCTGGGACCTGACCTTCTGGGCTCGTACCGTCTGGGCTGATCCGGCCGTGTGAGCCGGTCGGGACCTGACCTTCTGGGCTCGTACCGTCTGGGCTGATCAGGCCGTGTGAGCCGGCTGGGACCTGACCTTCTGGGCTCGTACCGTCTGGGCTGATCGGGCCGTGTGAGCCGGCTGGGACCTGACCTTCTGGGCTCGTACCGTCTGGGCTGATCGGGCCGTGTGAGCCGGCTGGGACCTGACCTTCTGGGCTCGTACCGTCTGGGCTGATCGGGCCGTGTGAGCCGGTCGGGACCTGGCCGTCTGGACTCGTACCGTCTGGGCTGATCCGGCCGTGTGAGCCGGCTGGGACCTGACCTTCTGGGCTCGTACCGTCTGGGCTGATCCGGCCGTGTGAGCCGGTCGGGACCTGACCTTCTGGGCTCGTACCGTCTGGGCTGATCCGGCCGTGTGAGCCGGTCGGGACCTGACCTTCTGGGCTCGTACCGTCTGGGCTGATCGGGCCGTGTGAGCCGGCTGGGACCTGACCTTCTGGGCTCGTACCGTCTGGGCTGATCGGGCCGTGTGAGCCGGCTGGGACCTGACCTTCTGGGCTCGTACCGTCTGGGCTGATCGGGCCGTGTGAGCCGGCTGGGACCTGACCTTCTGGGCTCGTACCGTCTGGGCTGATCGGGCCGTGTGAGCCGGCTGGGACCTGACCTTCTGGGCTCGTACCGTCTGGGCTGATCGGGCCCTGTGAGCCGGCCGGGACCTGACCTTCTGGGCTCGTGCCGTCTGGGCTGATCGGGCCCTGTGAGCCGGCCGGGACCTGACCTTCTGGGCTCGTGCCGTCTGGGCCGATCCGGCCGTGTGAGCCGGCTGGGACCTGACCTTCTGGGCTCGTACCGTCTGGGCTGATCGGGCCCTGTGAGCCGGCCGGGACCTGACCTTCTGGGCTCGTACCGTCTGGGCTGATCCGGCTGTGTGAGCCGGTCGGGACCTGACCTGGGCTCGTACCGTCTGGGCTGATCTGGCCGTGTGAGCCGGCTGGGACCTGACCTTCCGGGCTCGTACCGTCTGGGCTGATCGGGCCGTGTGAGCCGGCTGGGACCTGACCTTCTGGGCTCGTGCCGTCTGGGCTGATCGGGCCGTGTGAGCCGGCTGGGACCTGACCTTCTGGGCTCGTACCGTCTGGGCTGATCGGGCCGTGTGAGTCGGCTGGGACCTGACCTTCTGGGCTCGTACCGTCTGGGCTGATCCGGCCGTGTGAGCCGGCTGGGACCTGACCTTCTGGGCTCGTACCGTCTGGGCTGATCGGGCCCTGTGAGCCGGCTGGGACCTGGCCGTCCGGACTCGTGCCGTCTGGGCTGATTGGGCCGTGTGAGCCGGCTGGTACCTGACCTGGGCTCGTACCGCTGGGCTGATTGGGCCGTGTGAGCCGGCTGGGACCTGGCCGTCTGGACTCGTGCCGTCTGGGCTGATCGGGCCGTGTGAGCCGGCTGGGACCTGGCCGTCTGGACTCGTGCCGTCTGGACTGATCCGGCCGTGTTAGCCGGCTGGGACCTGGCCGTCTGGGCTCGTACCAGGTGGGCTGATCGGGCTGTGTGAGCCGTTGACTGCCGTCGGGAGCTAATGGCCGGCCACGGGCGGTGATGGCTGGCCGGCGGCTCAGTGTCGCGGCCCGACCCCGGCCTTGGCCCGCCGTGTCGATGATCGACTCAGCAGGGGCGGGTCGGCCGGTCGGATGATTGAGCCAGCGAGCTGGACCGCGCCGCGGCCGGCCGCAATGGCGCTGTCAGCAGACTGCCGCCCGACGCGGCGGCCTGCTCGATCGGGTCCGTGTTTCGGCGTGATCGCCTCACCGACGTGTCGTTATATCCATGTGGCTGGCGAGGGCAGAAGAGAAGAGGTGCAGTTCCGTAGGACAGCTGGGTCTGGGGCGCCCAGCGAAGTTAAATGAAAACTGACGCCCGTGTCGACCCGACACGACGTTTCGACCGCTTCGTCGATCGTTTGGTGATTACTGCACTATACGCAAAGCGTGAGCTCAGGGTCATGGTGTCACTGAGCTTAAGTCGTGCGCCGTATTCTGCCACTTCGTGTGCAGCGTGGGCGAGATAACGGGAGAAAACAGATGAAGCCCCTGGATGTGAGGATTCGCCACCTCCTGACCTGTCGCTGTACCACCGCCTGTTGGCACGGCTATCTCACTTTCCGCATTCAAACAGCTCTGTGAGTGGCGCGACGTCCAGTTTGCGTAGCTCCTTAACTGGCGAGCCTCTCGGAATAAGAAGACAGATTTTTGACCAGCTGATATAATTCATGTATACCATCCAATATAACATAATATAAATATGTTGTGGAACCAGCCGCCGTCCACGGAAGGTGGCTCGAGATGGGGCAGAAAGGAAATGGATTAGGTTCGTGTTATCCCGTGTCACGCACGTGAGCCATGCCGTAATCCTTGGGACCTTTCGCTATGATCGCCGCCGGTTGTGGCAGTTGTGTGCAATGCTAAACAGTGTTTTCTGTTGCGCAAGGGCACGCAGCTGAAATTGGACATGACAAGGGTTGAGCACATTTTGTCCTCTAGTGTGCGTTGTACGGCAACTTGGGCAGTAGGTAAACACGCATCAGAAGCGCATCAGTGAGAGCGTCAGTTTGATGCGCCCCTCAATTTCCGAACCTATCGGACATCTGCAATATCAACATAAATGTGATGCCGCCGCTCCGCGGCGGGGTGGCACTAGCGGTATCTCGGCATCGCCTCTGCCAGTACGACCCTCCCTCCCTCTCTCCTCTCCTCCCTCATTTCCTCCCTCCCGACCAGCAAGCCGCGTGCTTGCCACGTCTGCATCCGACACAGCTAAGCCCGAGGGCATGAACAAGCCCGAGCTTTGAAGCGGCGCACTGGGGTGGCCATGGCTCGGACGGCGGGGGAGTCTGCTGCGACACAACTAAGCCCGAGGGCATGAACAAGCCCGAGCTTTGAAGCGGCGCACTGGGGTGGCCATGGCTCGGACGGCGGGGGAGTCTGCTGCGACACAACTAAGCCCGACGGTATGAACAAGCCCGAGCTTTGAAGCGGCGCGCTGAGATGGCCATGACGGGGACGGCGGGCGAGTCTGCTGCAGGCATGTAGGTCTGAATTCAACTGGCCTAGTGTCATCATATTATCATTAGATATTATGCTATCATACCATTATATCATTATATCATATATCATTATATCATATATCATACAACTGTGCTATATGCTTAGGATTTTTGAAGGTATTTGATCGATTGCGGCGGGTTGCGATGCCGCAGGCACAACCGTGCGGTTGGAATTAAGGCACAGAAAAACATCACTGCCGTACTCTTAGGTGTAAGGCGTGGGATGCGCCTGCGTGTTTGGTTCGAGCCTTCTAGAATACCGGGCTGAACATGACAGTTAAATATTTCGATGCCACCGAGGTTTTTATGTAGAACAACGCATTGAAAGCTCTCCACCCTTCCCACGTGGAGGTCGGGCACACGTATAAACAATAACATGGGTAATCTGATTTTGTATTTTCATTTGTACGCTCACAAACAACACAAAGTATACACGCGGTCATGCATGGTGATATAAGCCGAGAAGTCGGTCACCTAATCGGTACCTAGCTGTCCACGTACCAGGCCGCGTCTGTCCTCGATCGCAGAACGTGCGGGGTCCATTGTGCGGGTAGTTGCCGGCAAATCATCAAATGCGGTCACGATCAGGCAATTACTTCTCTTTCCATACTCGGGGCGTATCGGAGGGGTCGTGAGCTGACCACAGTGTCTGGTGGTGCGGTGGTGATTCTCATGCCTAGTGACAAGGTCACGAGCGAGTCACCCGGGCTCGAATGTCGTCAAAGTTGAGGGGCGCGGCCTCGGTGCAAGGACGTCTTCACTGAAAGCGACACGTAAGCAGAACGTCGCTGATGGCGTTTTATTCCCGTCGTCCGGAAGTAACCATTTACAAGTTTGAAAGCTTCTGCAATCGGAATAGTCGAGGTATACGGCACCCTGGAGCACGAGGGAACTTTTATTTTTGTTGTGATTGAAGTTACCACATCCAGCTTGTTTCTATTTTAGTATGAACGGTCATAATAAGGAGTTTTTGGGAATATTTGCAGCACTCAGTGCGTTTTGCTGTAATGCGTCTTCACATCCACCATCAAAGCGGCTTGTCCCATCTCGGCCAAGAATGCATTCGGGTCCCGAGAGCTCAACATGCTGATGCCGAACTGATACAGCGCACCGGACAATTTGTGGTTTCAAGGTCTCATAGCAACGTTTTACTTCGGGGACGCAAAATGACCTGAACAATCGGCACTCCCTTCACACTAATAACTAGCACGCAAACGTCTTGCGTCCAAGTTATTTTCCCACTTTGTGAATCATTTCCGCTTATTAACACGGCCGTCATCTTCGTATGACGATAACGAGATGAATTTGCATACACCTCTCGGACTTCTGATCGTGTGCTGAAAAAGGACCCGCGCTGTTTGGTGATGCATGGGGCGAACAGCTGTCGCGCTTCCATGTGTGTGCGAGGCGCCGGCAGCCGCGCCAGGCCGTCGGCCATGCTAACGCCGAACTCGCTATGTTTCAGTGCGAGTACACGGTGCGGCTGAAGCCAGACTCGGAGGCGAACGCGGCGTTCTCCCGCGGCATCCCGCACTGGCAGACCGTCAAGGTGGGCGAGCGCGGCCCGCGTGGGCGGCCGCGCGGCTCAGCGGCGCCGCGTGCGGGCCGGCCGGTCTGAAATATTGAGCGCGCCTCGGTCGGAGCCGCCCGGACGGGAGCGGGGCTGGCCGGGAGCGACGAGTGATGCGGCGGCGGCGGCGGCGGTGGCAGTGGTGGCGGTGGCGACAGGCCGACAGCAACCGCCGCCGCGTCAGCTGGGATGGGGTCAGGCTGACAGCGCTGTACCGCACCGCTGGGAATGAGATCGGCGGCGGTTTCCGTGTCGCGGCTTTGGTCTGGTGCTGGGTGGGAGGCGCGGGGCCCCGTTGTCTGTCGGGCTGGTGCCACCATCAGATAATTGCGCCCATCGCGTGGCCACATGGTGTTGGACGTGACCACGCCGGTGACGTTTCGATGCAGAGCCAGCCGAAAACCGACCCTGCTGGCGCGGCCGCGCGGCGTCGGTGTCCGCGCTGCCGGCCCGTGCGTCGCTCCTCTGACCGGTCGCCGCCCGCAGGTCACGGACGGCGACGTGGCGGACGTGCGCCTGCTGGCCGTGCGCCGGCTGGGCGAGACGGACGTGACGGTGCACGTGCAGGCGGCGGGCCGAGCACCTGGCCTCGTTGCGGCTGGTGGTGGCCGCCGACGGCGGCGAGGCGGCGCCGCTGGCTCTCGCAAGCCGCTGGGCCGCGCCCCCTTCATCGTGCTGCCGACGCCGCTGCCGCGCGAACGGCCGCCAGTACGTGGCGCGGCTGGAGTGCTCCCTTCAGCGCCAGCACACACATCGTGCGGCCGTCCGAGGCGGCGTTTTGCGGCGGACGCGGCGGCGCACCACCTGCTGCTGCCAGTTCGCGGCCGAGCGGCGGCCGGCCCGACGCCGAGCTCGGTGCCGGGCCCGTGCTGGGGCTGCCGCTCACGCTGCTGGTGCTGCTGCTGGCGCTGAACCACCACCGGCGCTGTCTGGAGACGCTGCGCCGGCTGCGTGGCCGCTACCTGGCGCCCGGTCGCCGCGAGTCCGGCCGGCGCGTCCGGCTCCGGTGACGCCGGCGGCGGGCGGCGTGATGGTGCGGCCCGTTACCGTTAGGTGAAGGCCAGGAAATTTGACCGGAGGCCGAACGCCGGCGCGACTGTGATCGGAACGTTCGTTACGTGTCAAGGAGTGGTCGCTGCAATGGTGTGCTCGATGAGGGTCCTGTGCTCTGTGGTGGGTGTGGTGGGCGTAGTCTGGCAGAGTATGCGTGGGCTGTATATCACATACGTTCCGGCTGATTTGTTTTGATCGTGTCCGCGGGGCGGCATGACTCGCTCGTCCGTGTGTCTGTGCGTACGTCTGCACCGAGCGCCGCCCAGTCATTCGGCGGCGGCTGGCGCCTCACCCCCGGCCACGTCGGCCGTGCGTCGCGTCCGAGCAGGCCGCGCGGCAGTGGCACGTGGGCGCCGCCGCCGCCGCCGGCCAGCCCGGTGCGGACCTGTTTGTGTTGGCCCACCGCGACTGTGTACCTACCGGCCGTAATCGCTGACGTGGTGTCGTGGCTATCGATGGAGGCTGCATATATTGGAGGCCTGATGACGAGCGTGGCGTGACGGCCGACAACGGCTGGCTGCGGTGAGGTGGGCGGTGCGGCCCGGGCGGCGCCCCTCCACCCGGCCGAGATCTCTGCGGGGGCCACTGACGAGTGCGCCGGGCGGCGGTTCATCGGTAGCTAACTGCATAGCCGGCCAGAATGTTTGTCAGATATCGGGGAGATGGCTCGGAACGAAACATCCTTCAATACGCTCGAAACCGTCTCCGCGCTGAATTTATCCTCGTTATGGTTAATGGCCTGCTGCATCCATTCACGAAGACTCGAGGGAACATACGAGCAAACCTTGAAGGGATGGAGCCCGCGCCGCTGCGGCGGGGCGCGCTCGTCCCACGCTCAGCGCGGCCGTCGCGGAAGCCGGTGCTGTCCGACCGCGCCGCTCCCGGCCGCGGCGGCCGGATGAAATAACGAACGCCCGTCGTCCGGGGCTGATCCGCCTCCGTGATCGCCCGATGCCCCAGCGATCGCTGCCGGCGAACAAGCGCACGGGCGCCGGGGCGGCAGGCCAATTAGCGGGCGACGCTTTGACTGCGGGGGCAGGTGACGCCACGGCGCGGCCGGTGAACGGGCGGCCAGCGGCGGTCGTTACCGTACCTGCGCGGCTAACGAGCCGCCGAAGCTGGCCGCTGCAGGAGCAGATGGACTTTACACCATAGCTTTGCTCCGCGTGACCGGTAACTCAGTGCCGGACGTCACTGTGCTCGGGCTGTTCTCGGGGAACTAGGTCTTCGACCTGGAGTTATTTATCACGTATATCCGTCTGTCGTATTTTGATTTCCATTACGTTGTCCGCGCCCGATCATCGAGGCGGCGAGGCGGCGACGCCGTCAGGGCTTGTGATTGCAGCGGAGACAGTGTCCTCCAGGAGGAGGCGTATATGTGACTATGATAACATGTGTGCGCGAGCCACGCCGCCCACTCGGAGCCAGTTGTGGCGAAGCAGATGAAGGTGGATCTATATCTCGTGCTGCAGCGATAGCACTTTCAATTAGATTTGAAGAGAATCTTGAGACACCCTTGAATTCAAAAGAATGTTGTCTGTGGTACGTGCTCATATTGCGTCCAAAGCAGTTCAAAGCACGCTTTCCGTCGGGCGTGCGCACTGTCAATGAAATGCAGATTATATCCGACACTCGTGATATCAAGCCATTGGGACGCTCGGCACTGACCCGTATAGCGGGCGTACGCATGTCGCGTGCGAACCTCGCGGGTCCGTCGCATGTGAGCCCCCAAACCCCTCTATGCACGAGTCATTCCTGAACGGCAATGTGCTTCCAATCAGCCTCCGCCTCGGCGCCTGGTTATTTCCAGGGAGACACGTGGAGCATTCCACCGCCTAACGTGCAAAGGAGCCGTCATCTCAGCGTTTGCAGCATCGGCTGGTCAGGTCCTGAGTGATGACCTGATCCGTCATCAGGTCGATCACGGCGCCTCTTGATGGCGTGGCCGTTGACTGTCCCGGTGAGGTCCCTCGGCGATCAGCCGGCTACATTATTCACAGGGGCGACGGCGGCCGTGGATGCGGCCCCACTGTTGATCTGTCTCCGTAGAGATGGGAAGTGCCATTGATTGGTGTGGGAGGCGGCGCGGGGCTGGTGGTCGCCGTGACCGGTCACTGCGCCGGGGAGCCGCGCCCGGACTCGCGCCACCGGAGCAGCCGGCAGCCGCCGCCTCCCGGCCCCGACGCCATGAGGCTGACCGTGCTCGTCGCCGTTGTTGCTACCGCTTACGGTAAGCCATCTGAGCAGCACGTGGTGGGCGCTCCTGTGAGCTACCCGCTGGCCGCCTCTGGGTCTCTGTTTCCGCGAGCTATGAGCTCGCCACCGGTCATCGCTCGGCCCGTGTGCTCCCATCTGGCTGT